GATGGCAACAAATGTACAAATGTGCTCGATACAATGGAGGTATGTATGGATTGTGATAAGAGCTGTATGAGCCCCCAATAAAATGATTTTTTTTTAAAAGAGAGCATGCTCACAGTTCACTGAGTAACAAGCAAAAACTAGAGCGTGTAGGAGTTTCCTTCTCCCACCATGTTCCCTGGTATTAGAGCTTAAATTCTGAGCATTAGGTGTGCTGAGAGCTATGGTTCTTTCTGACCCGGTAACTGACCATGTGAATGAAGGAGCTTTGTCCTTTGGGAGAATGAATCAGAAGGTGAATTTCCATCCTTCCCCTAGGCCATCCACAAGGGGCAGCCTAGCCCTTGAAGGCTTGCCTACATGTACCCTGATTGGAATGTGGGGTAACCGGGTTCATATGATCATGAATCATATCCTGTCTTGGTGGAAGGTTCCTGAGCCAATCTTGTAAGTAGTTCTATATAGAATCGTATACACATGGCAATTATGGCCCCTCTTTCCCACCTACAACTGCGATGTATACTGAATGGCTACCAATCATGCTTTTGTGAGTTTCCCTTGTAAGAGAAGCTCCCATTTAAGTTGCTGCATTTCTGTAAATCTTTGGACACCATTATGACCTTGTGCTGATGAGTTGTCTTTGTCTTGTCTTCATCCAGTTGAAGACTTGCTGTAGTTGTTAAGAGCCATTAAGTCGGGTCCAACCCTTAGCAACCCTATGCACAGCAGAACAAAACACTGCCCTGTCCTGCACCATCCTCACAACTGTTCCTGTGCCGGAGCCCACTGTGGCAGCCACTATGGCAATCCGTCACCGTGAGGGCCGCCTTCTCCTTCACTGCCTCTCTACTCTTTACCAAACATGATGTCTTTCCCTGGGACTGGTCTCTCCTGACACGTCCAAAAGAGGTAAAACTAAGTTTAAGACTTAATACATATATATTTATTATTTATTATATTTTTAAATTTGGGGTCTGTGGTAGTTACATAATCTGTTGTCAATTTGAGAGGATTAAGAGTGAAGGGGTGGGGCTTAGCCTGTCAATCAGGTGGCAGCTTGAGGACCTTATTTGGGGGCGCTAAGGAGATAAATAGCTCATTGGAGGTGAGACACACTCTCAGTCCCTGTGAGACATTCTTGTTGACAAGCCACATGGAGATGGCAGCCAGTGCCTCGGTGCTGGAGAAGCCACATGGAGAAGCCACATGGAGACCCACGCCAGTGTTGATGCTTACACTGCCACTGGATCCACAATACTTCCCACCCACTGACCTGTGATCATCCTGCATTCAGCATCATTGCATGTGCTTCCTGAGTCTGAAGAGGACTTTATAGATTGGTGTCAGACTTAAAGGCTAATACCAGACTTGTGGACTTGATCTGGACTGGGCTGGTATGTTTTCTCAATATTCAATTGCTCTTGTATATAAAACTCTTCCTTCTACCCACATATGTCTATGAATTTGTTTCTCTAGCCTACCCAGACTAACACAGCATCTCTTTCCTTCCCTCAAGCATCCTTCAAAATAGTCCACATATAATTATATAAAATAAAGGCTAAGAAGATGTTGGATGAAGATTCTCTCCCAGCCTGGCATTTGCTTGGCTACACTGACCCTGAGCGATTATGCGTGACCACAGAGGCTCACTGCCCGCACAATGCAGGGAGACCCTGCTGGCTGCCTCCTGGCTGGCTCTCTGGCGCGTTGGTTCCAGAAGGCAGCAAGTCAAGTCTGCACCTGGCTCTGCTACTAGAACAGGCTGTTTGGGTTCCTGTTCATCAATCGAGGTGAGCTCATTTTCCCTAGAATTTCCAAATAACTCAACCCACACAACGGGCAAAACTGCCAAATAATTCAACCCACACAACGGGCAAAACTGCGACAAGCTTAGAACAATCTTTTCAAGCCCAAATTAATTTGCCTGCAGGCAAATTCCACCCACGGAGTCTCTCAAAAAACAAAAAGCCAGTAACACACAACCCTTTTGTCTGACTTTGCAAGTATCATTTAAATGACTTCAAACCAGCCTCTTACAATATAACTATAAAAAGGATGGCATGGCTATACTTTCTCAGTTGGAATGCTACATTATTCTTGATACTAATGTATGAACAGCTAAAGACCCAAACACCTTTTAAAGAGCTAATGATACAGTGTGGACTTCTTCTTCTGTTCTTGACAAGTATCAACTGACATCCCAATAAAGTTTTTTCACTTATTCCAAGGAGTCACAACTTTCTAACTTTCCAGTCTCTTTCTCTGTGCTTCATACTTCAAAGCCACTCCGTTATCAGTTTTATAAATACGGGTAACAGCAGTCATTTTGTTGTAGTTCATTTATTCAGCAGATACAAATCAAGCACTTAGCTCAAATTAACCCCTTCAGGGTGCAGTCTGTATCAAGGAGTTGCTCTTTAGAAGCTTAAATCCATGATAGTCAGTGCCGAGAATCTTACACTAGTAACTGTGCTATTAAAAAAATTTTTTTTAATCCCGGAGAAGAAAGTTTGAAGCTAAAGTTATAAAAGTAATTGAATCTTACATGGAGCTTGTTTCATTAATTTTTTATTCAATGAAGTTATTTTGTTCATCTATTACTAATGTGCTAAAAGGGGAAAAAAGGCAACCATTTAATAGATAACGAATGAAAGAGCATAAAGAACTAAAAAAAGGATCAGAAGGAAGAAGCCCTTTGCAAGCAAAATTGTGTGTGTGTGTGTGTGTGTG